TCATGATGAAAGCCACATAAGGCTAGTTTGAAAATGCCCCAGGGGAAATAGCTACAGTCCAAAGTCACTGGATTTTGCTCTCTCATGCTTGACCCATCTGTTGGGCCAGTGGAATAATCAAAGTACCAGGACCAGGACCCTGGAATTAAAAAAAAAAAAGTCTCTAGATTCCCATGTCGATGGTTTCCAGCTGGCTTGAACATGGAGGTGAAATGGTCAAAGATACGCAGAAACTGCTGTTCTGCTATATACATTTACTAATGTCTGTATTTCCCCCTACCACCAAAAAGAGTCTGCGGGAAGAATCCACATACTGTACATTTCCAGAAGAAACTTGGGTGTAAATCAGTGTATACTTGGAGAGAGAAAGATTTTTTTTCTTTTTCTACCTTGTAGAGTTAGGTATTTTTTATAGAATGGAGGCTGATCAATTTTTTAATACTTCAGAGAGCAATGTATCTGTGTAAACACACAAATCTATATATATGTATGTATGTATAATGTACAAATCTATAAATAATCAGATTGCCTTTCTTGACTTGGGCTCCCATGTCCGTAATATAACCCCCCAGGCTCCTCCTGACCTCCTGGTTGATCACAACATGGTACTGTAATGTAAATAGTCACAGGAGGAGGAAAACTACACCCACCAACGATAGTGAAGCTCTGGCTTGCGCACACGGTTTTAATTTCCCAAGGAAAATGGCTGTCCCCGGTGGGTACGTGAAGGAATTTCCAAAAAGAGGCAAACAGTGTTTGTCTTAACGGGTGTATTGACTCTTGTCTGATTAAAAGCTGTTACTGTCTCTGGCTGGAGAACTGCTTGCCTGGTCTTTTCTTATGTTCTCTAGTGGCATCCAGGAGAGATGGATGTCATTGCCCTCTAGGAGATCCTGGTGCAAGTGCCAGAATGACCATCCACCCAGAGTGGGGTTTGTTAGCCCTTGAGCCCAGATTCAGATCAGATTCTGCGCTGGGGGCTGTGCCCACAATTCACCTGCCCCTCTGGCTGTTATTCACAAGTTTCCTTTATTTCTGCTCCTTGCCAGGCCAGGAGCTTCTGTTCTTTGTCTATGGCAGGGAGAAGAGCAAGAGGTTCAAACAAGCTTTGCTTTTACGTGCTAAGTGAAACCTGACTTGGACAGCAGTGGGCACTGACTAATGCACCCTACCCCTCCTCCGCCCGACGTGGAGCTGCAGAACTCGTGGCTAAAACACCTTTTCGGACTTGGTTGCTTCTTGCCTGTCCCAGTTTTTTCTGTGACATTTTGAAATGAAGATTTCTTGAAGAGCTCAGATGCTCCACATTCCTCCATGCCATTTTGACCTGTCCTAATAAAAATATTGCGTTAGTGATAACTGGATATTTTTTTTCCTGCATGGCCCAATGTGACATTTTTTTCACACAGTCTGTCAAATATGTCCCTGATATTCTAGTGGATCTACAGAATTGCTCACTCTAGGTGGGCCGGGGATTCAGTATATAAGTAGTAACTCACTGGTGCTTATTGTGAAATTAAAGTTAATGGAAGAAGTAGGTTGAACATTCCATTGTCCTTCAAGTTAAGGGAAGACGAGGGCCACTTCTTAAGGGCATTCTGCCTGTCTCTAAGCCAGAGCTAAACTCAGACGTACCCAATCATGCAACCAATTATGGATTGAACCTCTGTTCTTGTATTTCAATCTGAAGGATCCCAAGTCTTTTCCCATCAGAATTACTTTGATGACAAAATTTGGATGGCCAGCCTGAGCTGTTTTGATACCCCTGTAAGGAAAATTCAAGCCTGCCATGCCCACTATTAACTGCTAATAAATGAGAGCACAGTGTGTGCTTTCTCTAAGTGATGCTTCTCAGAGTGGACCTGCCCATAATAGCACTACACGCTCGGGCTCTTCTTATGCTCCTTTTAGCAAAAAGCAGTGCTTTTTCTCATCCTGCTGAATCTGTATTTGCTTAAAAACAAGCCTGCTGTATAACCTCTGCAGGATGAGAGGCTTCACTAAATACCTTCCAAATACATTGGGACTACATCTCCCAGATTCCCCAGGAACATGCTTAGGCCAAAGACAATGAGCAACTCTTCTCACTTTGCCTCCTTAACAGACTTTCTGGAGGAAGAAGATGTGAGAAAACAGCATGGGTGCAAAGACAAGGAGCAAAGCCATGTTTGGAAACACTGGGATACAAAGGTAGGTCTTGCACACTCACCCTCTGTCTATTAATCATGGTCTCTTCTGTAAAGAAACATCAACCTGACTTCTATGTTGTGCTAAATCATAGTTGGGTAAATCAAGGTTGGGTTTTAGAATATGAAGCCACACCAGCTATGTTACAGTTTAGTGCAGGGGGTGAATCAGTAGTTCAAAATAATATAGAGGAACACTGAGTGCTTTCTCTATAAAGAGTGCACCTGTACCTCGCATTTGCACAGGTAAGATGAAAAGGCTTTCTCTTTTTCAAGTGCTCCTTAAGATCAGTCTCTCTTCTCCCTCCCTTGCCAACATCTCCTGAACAGAGTCCCCTCACTTGTTTTGGAACCTGTCATGTTTACTTGAGGCTTTTGAGGATCCTTCTGTTGGTACTTTGCAGCACAGCGACTGAATCATTGGGGGGCTTGGTAATAAGTGAAGTCAGTCTGCATTGTCATCATTCTTCTTGACTTTCTGAGTGTTGCCTGACAATAGCAGTGAGCGCGGTCTAAGGTGAGCACAAAGGTAGCCGTGAGCGAATCTTGGCATAGCCAACAAAGTGTGAGAGTGAAAAGGCAAGAGCGGGAAAGGATCTGGCTAGGCTCACGCACACTTCCTGCTCTTGGCTCAGGTGGGGCAGAGAAGAAAACGACCTGAGTGGTAGCAATAGCAATAGTGGAGACTGGATTGATTTGAAGCCCCTTGTTTTATCATAGGTCAGCCCATGACCCTGAGTGAATCCCTTCTCCCTATCACTCTCTCACCAACTAGAAGATCATGGTTGTCCCCTAATACGAGGAGGGTTGTTAGAATCGCTGCAATAATGGCAATGAAGTGTTTAGAATTGTACATATTATAACTGAGACTCTTCTGACCTTGGAGAGTTAGCATCGTTTCTCTGGTTTGACACAAGGTGGCATCAAAGCATTGCTGGAATTTGTAATGTGTTATTTTCCCCCTTAAGGAATGGACCATTCTTCCCTTGCATATGCAAAAACAAAAAAGCTGAATTTAGTGATGCTGCTGAGTTTTGTTTGCTTCCTGTTCACCAAGATTCAGGCTTGCTTTTGGATGCCTGATCCACCCAAGGCCTTTTAAAAATCCTCTCCCTGCAATAGAGCTTCAGCTACTAGATCTGGGCTGCAGAAATCCAGGGGACCACTGGTTGACAGCAAAAAGGGATGTTAGTATCCTTTTGCTGCCATCTAATCATCATGCAGGGTTTTGCTGACTAGGTCTGGTAGCTTCAACTTAGCCTAGTGCACTGCAAGTGTGTTGAGCTACAATTCCCAGAGTTCCAAAGCCACACAGCTGTAGATAGCATTGGCTATGAATCAGTTGCAGTCCTAACATTTCTGGTGACTACCAAGTTGCAGAAAGCAATATTGCAAGGTAAGAAATTAGGGGGAGCTATTTTTTTCTGTAGCTAATTTCATAAAAAGTCTGATCACCAAAGCCCCTTAAGTGTTTATCTTATTCTGTGACTTACACCTCCACTCAAAAAGGAAATTCTCACTTTCTAATAAAGGAACCAGTTCATTATTCTACATTTTACAGTTTGTGTATTTAGCTTTTTAATCACAATGATCTTCAACTCAGGTTACAGCACCTCAAATCATTTTACATTAAACTGTTTTGTTAAAACAGCAAACTGGAATACAAAACCTAGAGAACAAAAAGTTTCAGCAGATGGCAGCAGTGAAGCCTTATTTTTTTGTATTACTTTATAGTACCAAAGTAAGATAAATGGGAACATAACTTGCTCTCAACCCCTTGCAGAAGGAGGCAAGATGAAGGTCAGTGGGGCAGAAAATAATGATAAACTAGAGCATATTCTGATGTCACAAAATCCATATTTGGGGATTAACATGATTTATCATGGTCTGAGCGTTTTTATCGGGGAAGCAGCTTTTCCGAAGCCATGGTCCGTATTACTCCTCCTAGGAACTTATTCCTTAATATATGTGCTTATTTGTAGCAGAGTGGTAGACGAGGCATTGCCTCATTCCATTTCACGCCACAGAACTATGCCTTGAGGCCAGCTGGCTTACTCTTGAGCAGTGTTTCTCAATCTTGGCAACTTTAAGATGTCTGGACTTCAACTCCCAGAATTCCCTAGCCAGCATGCTGGCT